AACTTAAGCCCAAACAGGAAATAAGTTTCGCAGCCCATTGTTTTATTAGCAAAGCCCAAACAAAATCAAACAGTAAGATTTTTTTTTTTTAATTTCATGCCCAAAAACTGGGCCAAATAAACTTGATTCCGTTTGAATCGAATTTAGTAATAACAAGGCTAATGGTTCATTTTTTTTTATTTCTTTTTTATTTCAGGCCCAAAACTGGGCCAAATTAAACATAACCAAATGCACGGACTTATATAGCACGGTCAAAGCTTTATCCACCAAACAAATATAAAACATTCAAGAAGGTGGTAGAGGCAGGTATTTAATGCCTGAAACCCTACCACTTACAACATTTTTGCCGTTTCTTCTTCACTTTTAATTTTTTTCTCTCATCGGAGACCAACACTCGGATTGATTCTAATTTTCTTTAGCCATCGTAAACATGCTTTTAATTTATCAACGTCGAAGCTATTGATCTAGATCTATGTACAAATAAACCCTGAAAATTTTAAGGGTTTTAATATTCAAAAAAGGAATCGATTTAGACAAAATTTCAACACAATTTCCGGCTACCGGTTTCTAAATGTAGAAAACCAGTGAAATTTGTCGATTGACCCTACCTTGATTTATAGGGATTAGACTACCTCTCCGTGAGACTAACAGAACGAAGCGAAGCGAAATGAAGTCATAGAAGTTCGGAGAGGGAAGGTTGCAATGAACCTGACTCCTTTCAGTCGTCAATTTCATCGAACCTTTACATCTTGAAAATTTTCACTTTACATTTTTTTAATTTTTTTTGCTGTTACCGAGTTCTAAACGATAGAAACCCGATACATGTGTGGTGTACAAACAATCTTTTGAATTTGTTATTTTGCTGCCGAGTTCTAAACAATAGAAACCCGGTACAACTGTGGCGTTTAAATAATTTTTTGATTTTTTTATGTTTCTATAACTTGTTTTAATAATTTTATTATAAGACCAATAGAATATGTTTCAAATGAAGGCATCTATTTTAACAAATTTTATTTATTTTGCAAATATTAGGGTGTTTTACAATATAATAAAGAAAAATAGCAACATATCTATAGATTTCTAAGGATATTCAACTTAGTTTTTTTTTTTTAATAAATGTAAACATAAATGCGTTTAGGGATTTTTTATTATTGTATGTTTTTTGAAATTTG